AGCGCAGATAGCAATAAAGAGGTTGAGGGAACTGGGTATGTTAGAATGGATACATTATGTAAGGCTGGAAGACACATCCAGGAGTCAGGTTGGATAGGACCGTGCAGAGTGCACACCCTTCACCAAAGCCTGTAGCAGTGAGCTAGTGAGAGAGGCATAAGCGTGTCTAGGAATTTTAGTGGTGGCCGCCTCTGCAGGCCAGAGCTGACAGTAAGAGAGACAGTCACAGAGCAAGGCTTTTTAGCATCTGTAGGGATGATAAGACTTCAAAGTGATAGTGGCCAGGCGGTTAACCACAGACCCAGGAAGTCAGTTACCGTAATGCTGCATCTATGGGCCCACTACTTTACTTCACTGAGTTTGTCCTTATGCAGTACCACACTGTGTTGACTGCTATAGCTTTTACTGAGTCTTAAACTCAGGTGGTGTAAGTCCTCCAACTGTTACACATCAGGGAAGGCTCTTATAGTTGTTTTAGGCCTTCTGTGTTTCCACATGCATTTTTAGAATCCTTATGAAACTCTTAAAACCATACTGCTTGGATTTCTATTGAGATTTCCTTAATCTGTATGTTAATTTTGAGAGAACAAACATATTAACAATTTCAAATCTTCCACTATGTGAACAGGGTGTATCTTTCCATTTATTGAGTGTTTTTTAATCTCACTAATGTTTTTAGTATATAGGTTGTGCACCTTTTTTAGATTCCTAGATATTTTAATTTTTTCTATTATGTTACTGTTAATGTTTTAAAATTTTATTTTCCAAGTGATTTTTGCTAATTTTCAGGATTAAAATTTGTTTTTGTACATCAACCTCATATTTTGCTAAATATACTTATTATTTCTAGTGGATTTTATAATCCCATTTGTGATTACATACACAGTCATGCTTAGAATAATGAAGACTTCCTTTCTTTCTTTCCAGTCTTTGTTTAGTTTCCTTCCAGCACTAGCTAGGACTTTCACTTCAATGTTGTATTGAAGAAATGAGATTAGCATCCTTACCTTTCCTGATCTTAGTATCAAAAAAAGAGTTTCAAGATGAAGGAAATTCCATTCTATTTTTAGATTGTTAAGAAGCTTTATCATGAACAGGTGCTGAGTTTCTTCATATGCTTTTCATCTGCATCTTTTGATATGATCATATAATCATGTAATTTTTCCATTTATTCTGCTAATGTAGTCAATCACCCTAGGTGATTATTCTGAATATTAATCTAACCTTGCCCTCCTGGGATAAACCTTATTTGGTCAAAACGGTATCCTCTTAATGTATTGCTAGGTTCTATTTGCTAATAATTTTTAAAGGCTTTTCCCAGAATTGTTCCTTAGGGATACTGGGCTGTAATTTTCTATTCTTGTAATGTCTTTGTCAGGTTTGAGTCACATGATTATGCTCATGTGATGAGTTGAAAAGTGTTCCAACCTCCTCTATTTTGTGAGTGTAATACTTGTATTATTTCTTCCTTTAATGTTTGGTAGAATTCACTAGTGAAATCACTTAGCCCTGGAGTTTTCTTTGTGGGAAGGCTTTTGTTAACAAGTTTATTTAATAGAATAGGGCCATTCAGATTTTTTTTTTGGTTCTATTTTGGTAAGTTGTATTTTTCAAGAAATGTGTCCGTTTAAGTTGTCAAATTTATTAACGAAAGTTGTTCATACTATCTCTCTTATTAGCTTTTCATGAGTATAGAATCATAGTGATGTCTTTTTAATTCTTGATATATAGGTAATTCATCTTTTTTTAATCAGTCTTGCCAATTATTGGTTTTATTCATTATTCAAAGAAATAGCTTTTGGAGTTGATGATTTTCTCTATTGTTCGTCCACTTTTCTTCTTTCTGTTTTGGACTGAATTTGCTTTTCTTTCTTCTTATTTCCTAAAGTAGAAGCTTAGCTCAATGTTGTAGAACACATCTTCTAATTTAGGCCTTCAAAGTTATATATAAAAAACCCCCTCTAAGTACTGCTTTTACTGTGTCCCACAGATTTTGATATGTTATGTTTTCATTATCATTCGGTTCAAAGTATTTTCTAGTTTCCGTTGTGACAGTATTTGACTAATTTTTTTTTTAAGAAGTGTGTTTAATTTCCAAATATTTGGAAAACTTTCCAGATACCTGTTTTCATTTCTAGCTTGATTCTGCTTGGTAAGAAAACAGAGTAAGAAATACTCTACTTCAAATATTTTGAAATTTATTAAGATTTATTTTATGGCCTAGGATATGGTCTGGCTTGTCAGTATTCATTCCATGAACACTTAAAAAGAATGCGAATTCTTCATATGTTGGGTCTGTGGTTTTAAAAATGTTAAACTGGCTGAGAACATTGTTTCAACCTTCTGTAATCTTACAGATTATTTTCTATGTGTTCTATCAGTTACCAAGGATACATTAAAATATCAAGTTATGGTTGTGAACTTGTCTGTCCTTTAGTTCTCTCCATTTTTATTTATGCATTCTGAAGCTCTGTTACTAGATACATATTTTGTTTATTATCTTTGATAAACTGACCCTTTCATTTTTATGAAATTTCCCTCTAGTGTTCTTTCATTTCAGCCTGAAGGACTACTTTTAACATCTGTTGTAGGGCAGCTCTGCTGGTGGCAAACTTCCAGCTTTTGCTTATCTGGATATGTCTTAATTTCTCCTTCAAATTTCTCCTTCATCTTTGAAGAATCTTTTGTTAGAAGTTGAGTTTTTCATCGACAATTGTTTTTACTCTCAGCAGTTCGAATACCTCACCCCACTGCCTTTTGGTCTCTGTGTCAAGATACCAGCTGTTCATCTTATTTAGGATCCCTTGTATATGACGAGTTGCTTCTCTCTTGTAGCTTTTAAGGTTGATGTTTTTCATCAAATTTGGGAAGTTTTCAGCCATTATTTCTTCAAGTATTCTTTCTGCCCTTTCTCTTGTTTCCTCTCCCTGAAACTCCCATTGTGTGTATGCTGCCATGCCTGATGGTGTCCCACAGTTCTCTCTTGTTAAATTTTCTGTTCTTCAGACTGCATAATTTCAACTTACTCTTCTTTATTTCCTTATTCTTTCTTCTTCCTATTCAAATCTGCTGTTGAGCTCCTCTAGTGAAATTTTCATTTATTGTGCTTTTTGACTCCACAATTTCTATTTGGCTTCTTTTTATAATTTCTATCTATTGATGTTTTCTATTTGGTGAGACATCATTTTCATAAACTTTCCTTCAGTTATTTTAGACATGGTCTCTTTTAATTCACTGACATTTATAATAGCTGATTTTAAACATTCATCTAGAAAATCTAATCTCTGGTCTTTCTCAGGGACAGTTTTTATTGATTTTTTTTTCCTGTGTATATGCCATACTTTGTTATTTCTTTGCATGTGTACTTTTTGTTGTTGAAAACTTAATATTGTAATGTGCCTAGTAAATGTAATATTGTAATGTGCAACTCTGGAAACCAGATTTTCTTCCCTCCTCAGAATTTGTTGTTGTTGCTACTTACTGGAACTGTTGTTTATTTAGAAAATTTTCTGAACTAATTCTGTACAGTCTGTATTCTGTGTTATGTGTAGTCCCTGAAGTCTCTGTTAATTTGATGTTTAGCTCATGATTAGACAGAGATTTCCATAAAATGCCTGGAGCCAAAAAATCCTTGTAGTCTATGCCAGAGGACTCGTGTGTGTAGACGTGTACCTTGGCCACTCAGCCAGGCAGTTTACAATTCTGCATTAGCCTTCATGTCTTGTTTCCGCAGAGCCTCACTGTCCGCAGGAGGTGAAAGCTTAGGGCCTTCTCGGGGCTTTGCGGAGTACATGCACAGCTCTGAGAGTGTGCATGTGTTTCTCAGATCCCCAGGAATATCTCAGAGCTGTTTGTAGCCCTTACAAACATTTCATTCCCTAGCCTGTCCTCTCAAGTTTTTGGTTAGCCTATTGTTTGCCATATATGTTATTTATTATCTCATATGGCAGCAACTAAGGTGTTAGCCTGTGAATGCTTTTGACAAATGCCCCCCAGGAAGCAGCTTTAGCACTACATCAGTTCCAAGTTAGGTGCAATAAAACAAGCATTTTGTCTGCCAAGGAGGAACCAGACAGGTTAGAACAACTAATTAGAATTCTTTATGAATGAGGTACTTTCTGCTTCCTGTAGTACCAGGAATGTGAGCTATTATTTTCAGAGCTACTGCTGGATTGCAGGGGAGAGGGCGCAGATAGGACTAGGGTAAGTTAAAGTGCCAAAGTTCATGATTCTTTCTGAGAATCAGCATTTTTCTTTAGTTAGTGTTCCCTTGGTTGCTGCACGTCTTTGGTTAATTTCCAGAGTTCAAGACCAAGAGTTGATTTTGACAGTTTTAGCCTGTTTTTTCAATCATGTTTATGGAGGAGCAGAATTTGGAGTTTTTTCCTTTGCCTTTTTGGCTGATACCATTACCACTTTTTACGTTCAATCTGTTTAAGTCTTTATATTTGAAGTGCGTTTCTTGTAAACAGTTTAAAGTTGGGCCCTTCTCTCTCTTCCTTTTTTTTTTAAATCCAGTCTAATGGTTTCTGCCTTTTAATTAGAGGATTTAGTCCATGTACAGTTAATGTAATTTTTGGCATAGCTGAATTTTTTGTATTGGTAATTGTTTTTTATTGGTTCCATTCATTCTTTGTTCTTCTATTCTTCCTCTTCTGCCTTCTTTTTGATGGATCAAGTAGTTTTTAGTATTGTATTATATTTCATCTGTTGACTTGTTATTTTTAGTGATTTCACAAGAATGCAATATGCACGTTTAACTATTAACAGAGTACCTTCAAATGATGTTATACTAGTTCTCACACACAAAATAGTATGTAACAGAATAATCCCTTTGCCCTCTGTCCTTCGTTCCCTTGTTGCCATGTATTTTACTTCTGTATTTACTACTATAAAGCCCAGAATACGCTATTATTTTTGCTTCAGTGAAGAGTCTTTTATGGATTAAAAGTATGTGTAAAAGAGAAAGATAATTTTAAGAGGTTTTAAAAACTACTTACCTTCACATTTTTCTTTTCTCGTCCTGTCTTCATTTCTTTCTAGAGATCTGAGCTTTCCATTTAGTGCCATTTCTCTTCAGCCAATCTGTCTTTCGGCATATCCAGTAGGGAGATTCTGCAAGAGAATAATTTCTTCAGTTTTGGGTGTCTCAATATGTCTTTATTTTGACTTCATTTATGGAGTAGATAAATATTTTTTTGATATAGAATTCCAGTTTGACAGTTTTCTTCTTCTTTAAGCAGATTTTCTAAAATAATGTCTTATCTAAGGTATCTTTACCTAATCCAAGGTCACAAAGATTTTTTCTTACTTTCTTATGAAATATTTATAGTTCTAACTTTTAGACTTATGGATATGATCTATCTTGAATTAATTTTGTGTATGGTGTGGTTGTGGTGTGAGGTTAATTTTTATGTATATGCATATTTAATTTTCCAGCACCATTTGTAGAAAAGAGTATTTCCCTATTTTTTAAATTTTTAAAACTTTATTTTCCGATACTGTTGGTGGTATATAGAAAAATAATGGATTTTTATATGCTGACTTTGTATCCTGTGGTGTTGCTAAATTCATTTACTAGTTCTAATAGTGGTTTTGTACATAAACAATTACAGTTAGACTATTTCACTTTCCCCCCCAATCTATGTTTTTAATTTTTGTTCTTATTGCACTGGCTGGGACATTGAATCTTTCACATATCATATTAAGTATAGTTTTTTTTGCTGTTTTTTGTTTTTTGTTTTTGTAGATACCCTTTGTTAGATTAAGTTTCTTTTTATTCTAGTTTGTGAGTTTTTTTTTTTAATGAGCGTTGAATTTTGCCAAATGTTTTTCTGAATCTAATTTAAATAATTGTGATTTTTCTTTTTAATCAATATAGTACATTATTTTTAAGTGTTATCCCTAACTTACATTTTGGTAATGAACCTCATTTGGTCATAAGATTGTCCCTTTTATATGATGTGGGATTCAGATTGCTTAATTTTTAAAAGGATGTGTCTCTGTTCACAAAGATATTAGTCTGTTTTTTTTTGCCTCATAGTGTATTATGTGATTTGATATTTTGGCAATGCTGTTTTCATAAAATGAATTGGGAAGTGGGTCCTTCCTTTTTATTTTTGCTAATTTGTTTTTAGAATTTTCCTTATTTCTTTTTTAAATAGTTGGTCGAAATCAACAGTGAATACATCTAGGCTTGGATTTCTCTTCGGGACAAGATTTTTTAAACTAAGAGTCTGATTACTGAAATGGGGTAGTCACATTATCTTTTTCAGTGGTTTTGCTAGTATATATCTTTCAACATGTACATTTCATCTATGTAGTTTAATTTATTGACATCAAAATCTGTTTATAGCATTCCCTTGTTATCGCATTAATATCTGTACAATCTGTAAGGATATCCCTTCTTTAACTCCTGTTACTGGTGACATGTTTTTTCCTTTTCTGATCAGTCTGTTTGGTGGTTTCCAATTTTTTAAAAATCTTTTTAAAGAACCATATTGTGGTTTCATTGTTTTTCCCTATTGTTTTCCTATTTTCTATTTAGTTGCTTTCTGTTTTTTATTAGTTTTTATCTTCTGCATCTTTGGAGTTTAATTTGCTCTTCTTTTTCTAGCTCAATAAGGTGGAAGATTAGGTAACTGAGATCTATCATTTTTTATTCTTTTTTCCCCCCCTTAGTGGAGGCACTGGGGATTGAACTCAGGACCTTGTACATGCCAAACATATGCTCTACCACTGAGCTATACCCCCCTCTCATTTTTTCTAATGTAAGTATTTAATAGTATATATTTCCCTTTAAGCACTATTTTTAATACACTGTAAATTTTTTTCTATCTTGTGTTTTTGTTTTCATTTAGTTCAAAATATTTCCTAATTATCCTTGTGATTTCTTCTTTGACTTGTGGTTGGTTTGTAAATGTATTATTTATTATTCAACTATATGAGGAATTTCCACACATCTTCCAGTTATTGATTTCCAGCTGGAATCTGTCATGGCCAGAGAATATAATGTGTATGATTTCAGTCCTCTTAAGTTTACTGAGACTTGTTTTAAGGCCCAGATTATGGTTAATCTTGGTAAAATTTATTTTGTACTGAAGAAGAATGTGTATTCTGTTGTTGAGTGGAGTGTTTAATAAATATGAATAAGGTCAATTATTTACTTTATAGATTATTTTCAATAGTTTTCTCCATGGCTTTGCTGCTAGTTTCATTTGTCATTTCTGGGTCTGTTTCTATTACATGAGGTTTTACTTTGTGACAGTTTATATTTTCTCCTTATTTTGATTGGTGATTTTTATTAGAATTTTTATTGTGATTTTTACGTTGTGTGTTGTGGGATTTTGTTATATTGTCTTAAGTAGTATCAAATTGTGTTCTGACAAGCAGCTAAGTTACTTTGAATCAGTTGGATCTCTGTGAGGTCTGCTTTTAAGATTTTTTAAGGGCAGAGCAGCCATTATCACAGTACTTTTTTTGCACTATTCATAATATATTTTTCTGAGGATTCTACCTGATGTTCTATGTTTTATGGAGGAGTCTCTACTTTTGCTGGTGAGAACACAAAGCCTTTTCCTTCTGTGAGCTCCAGAACTTTTCTTCTTCTCCCTTTCCAGTGGTTCTTTCCCAAGTCTGGTATAGTTTCCTCTTAGAAATGTACAGATTAGAGGCTGCCAGATTCCAGAGCCGTCTCTCAGAGCAGCTCTTCCTGTTTGGTAATCTGCCTTAAAATTCTAGCTCTCTTGGCCTCCCTGACTTCTGATCTCCATCTTTTCAATTTGGGGAGGTCAGGCTCTGTCTGGGTTTGCCTTCCTGGCACAGTGGCTGGAAACTGCCTGGAGACAGTAACTTGGTGCAGTGCTAATTCTCACTTTGTTTTCTTTCTCTCAGAGTTGAGAGTCCTATTTTGCCTTATAATCAATGTTTTAAAACTACTGTATTATATTTTGCCCAGTTTTCTAGTTTTCCTTACTATTCCGTCATGGCCAGAAGCAGAAACCTCCCAAAGGTATAATCTTTGAGGCAGGAAAAAAGTAAACTTGAGTTTAGTGTTTATAGAAGTTAAAGCATTTATTTAATATTTACTTCAAGGCCTTGATGATAATGATTATTTTGAAATTTATTTTTAGACATTTTACTAAAAGACAATAGTTATCTTTTATAACTAACTTATGTCGAATGCCATGCTCATTTTTAATAACTTAGCCAGAGGTGTGGTGTTAGAAGGGTTAGTTATTAAGCCAATCAAGGCACTTTCTAAAAGGAATAAAAGGAAAAAACATTGCCAAAAAAAAAAGCCACACTTAATTTCAAGTAGCAAAAAGACAGAAATAATGGTTTCTCTACTTTCAGTCTCACACAGGCAAACTGCCTTTTTTTAAAAAAGAAAGAAGTTACTTACTTTATTAGTCGTGGTCACCAGTAACGTGAAGTTCCAGGTCGATTGTGAACTGTTTCTTTAGTTCAGAAGGTCGTGCAGACACTGCAGAGGGAGGCAGGACAGAGGCTGAGACAAAGTGTGCAGAAATCTCTGCTTCCCATGTCCAACAGACATAGGCAATCACTTCACTACTGTCATCAGTAGAAAAAAAGAATGCTTGTTTCAGTTTCCCTCATCCCCAATTTTTCTTTTTTTCTGGTTTTACTCGAACAGAGTGTAACCCTTTCATAACACTGGAGCTGGCCCAACTGAAGAGGTCATCATAAGAAGCAGCTCCTTACACGGGTTGATAATTCTCCATAAATTCTCAAATCGATAAAGTGTATCTCTGTATTTAAAACTTAGTTAAATTCTGCTTCAAAACAGAAATTCACACTGAAATACATCACCCTTTTGAAAAAGGAATGAGAACTTATTTTAATACATACATACATACATACATACATACATACATGTGTGTATATACACACACACACACACACACAGTATAAATATGTATTTTTTTTCCCTTTTGCCTATGCTGTACATTTTTGGTGTGGGTGAGTCAGTAATTTGCTTTCATTTATGTAAGAATGGGCAAGGGGGCAGTACAATGCAGTGGTAGACACCCACCTTGAACGTTTGGGATAGCAGGTAACTTGCTGGGACTAGAGTAAGACTTTTCCACCATCAGTGGTGATGGAGATTTTATGTCCACAAGTAATTCCAGCAAATCCCACATTCTGTAAACTGTCTCCATTCCCTCCAGACACACTTTGAGGCCAAGTACCCATAGATACTTACTTTTAACTTGGTTTTCCATTATTTCCAACTTTGGTTGAAGAACGGCATTTTCTAATTATAGCAGATTTTTAAGATGGTCCAATTCAGTTTGCGTCATATCGCATTGCACTGTAGCAGTTTGTAAATTTATCTCTGCTTTTTCCACATTACCTTCCAATTTAAAACCCGTGGGGCAAATGCTTCAAGTTTACCTTAATCCTCTATTTACTGACTTTAATATGTTGTAAAATAGTTTTAAGATGAACCTCAAAAGGCTTGTCAGGATCACCTGGTCCTCAGGGCTCTGGAATTGAGAGAGCAAATGCACTTACTATGGTATATAATCCAAGATCACCCTTCCCTTCCACTCCCAGCTAGGAATGATATGCCTGGTACTGAGAATGGTGGGGGGACACTCAGAAATCTCAGGCTTAGACCACCCGAAGAACTTTCTGTACTGAGTTTTGTTAAGAAATCCTTGTAGGGAAGGAAGAGAACGTGGGCCGCCACCAGACCTGGATTCTAACAGTAACATGCTTATCTGCCCTGAGACTGTGATGAGCAAGATATTTAACCTAAGACTTTGTTCCCCCTCATTTGTGCTGCAGGGAAGACGGCAGCTACCTGAAGGGTGAGGGAGGGACTTAATGAGATCACGCCCGGCATGTAATACCCCACATTTAAAGAGTTCTCACCGGCCAAGGAGCTCCAGGGCCGGGGGGTGGGGGGGTTCCTTTCCCCCTCTCATTTGAAAGCAGCCCAACAAGACACCAGAGAAGAGCTGGTCTAAGTAAAGGGTGGAGGAGGGGGTGATGAGAGGAAGTGTTCTAATCAGTCTTAGTTCATTAAGCCGTTTGCCCTTCCCCCGTCCCACAGCACAGACATCTAGCACACACAGCATGCTTGCACGAGGCTGTTCCAAGAGCTGGAGTCCATTTTTAAACCTCCCAAACTGCTCCTCAACAAAATCAACCATTCTCCAAAGGGGCAGGAGTCCTGCCCAACAGACAGTGGTGGCACCGGAGCGCTGGTGGCCAGACCAGCGTGCAGGGGGTGTGTCTGGGCCCTGGAAGCAGCAAACCTCAGACGGGCACAATTACTGTGTCTTCTTAACTCTCCTTCTGAAGTTATTCGAGGGGACTGTGGTTTTGCCTTGAGCAAAACCCCCTGAACAGCCGGGAATCTAAAAACAAACAACATTATTTTATTAGGTTACTCCAAGCAGATGAAAGCAGAGTGTTCCATTTGGACTCTTTTTTGGAATCAATTAATGCATTAGCTAAAAACAAACCCTTCTGAAAGAGAGTCCCGTTGTCCTCAGCAGCTTCTAAAGGAAAGCTTGCCACTGCGCTCCTAAGGACACAGAAACATCAGTGAGAGGAACAGAGAAGGAGTGGTAAATAATTAACATTCATTGATAATAAGAAAAATTATTTTTTAATGATATAGCTCAACCCTAATGTAACACTAATCTCAAAAGATACGTTTTAAACCTTTATTTTTAACCATGACCAGGAAATTTAAATATCATGTAGTTTATATGACAGTTCCTGACTCAAAGTTACCAACGAATTAAAGCCAATTTAAATAGCTGTAGTTGCTTTAATAAAAGATGTACCTACGATTTCTAAAGTAAGTGAACAATACATAACACTGTGATTGTTTCCAGGTATGGTTTTAACTCCCAACAGCAGAAAAGTCCTCTAAAGTAGGGAAATAACAGGGATTGCTCATTGGAAAAAAATATGTATTTCTCAAAAACCATCCATCTATCCATCCATCCATCAAAATTATAATCAAGAGCCCACTAAAAGTTTCCGGCACCATGGAACCAGCATCAGAGACACAAGCCCACCCCTCACGGAGCCCAATCTTCCAAGCCGAAGGCTGCCACTGTTTTGAGAGACAGAAGTGGCAATGCTTTTTGCTGCCTCAGACTTTGAAATGAAGCCATGAACTCCCTGTGGTCTTCGTAACATCCAAAGTAGAACTTTTTGGCGAGGGCTGGGTTATTTCCAAAAGGTAAAACAAAAGGCACACCCCTTTGTGGGCAGCACCATTTATGGAAAGAACACTTCACTCCTCTTACCAGGGAACGTGTCTTCTAAAAATCTTTGGGAAAATCCACATCCTGAAAGCATCTGATTATCCTGAATTTAAAATGGGATTTTGCTCAGTGGCAAAGAGACAAATTCATCCCCGCAAGTATGGCTTCTGTGGTAAAAGGCACATGGTGACTCTTAGAGAGGGTTTATCTGGAAGGTTGATAAACAGGGCCACAAGACAGGACCCGTCAAATTCCACTCTTGGAGATTTCCCTGCCTCTACCTGAAGAATTCCAACGTGAGTTGCCAAATACCAACTGGGAGTGGAGGTGGGGGGTTTGGGGGGGGGA